GAAGTTTCGTGTTGTGAATGATGTCAGTCATAGAAATGAAAGAAAGAAAAGAAATAGAAATGAAACAAATGCTTTCTGTAGCTTTCCATTGGACCAACACCAAGCGCAAAAGAGAAGAAACATGAACTGAACGGACAAGAGTTGCCATACGACGTTATAAATGGAATGCCGATGTTCCAAAAGGACCATGTCATTGGCAAACGCTACCAGGTGCTCCCATTTACATTGACTTTCAGACGAAATACACCGAACTAACAGATCTTACTACAGATTTTTGAACGAATTGGCTGGGACGATCGTGTCGGAGCAACATATTTGGTTACTGCTCCTGACGGCAAAGAACTAGTCTTACGCGTAGGAAACGATCAAATACTAATTCCACAACTTGAAGCATCGTTTTTATGTAAGGTCAGCTCCGTTGGAAAACAAAATAGATAAGGAAAGTAATGGGGTGGATATCACAAGGACTGGTAGTACGAGAGAGATGAGAAGTAAGCAAGACTGGTTCAGATTGAGCAGCAGAACTTATGGCGCTTCTTCTCGCAAGTGCATTCAATCTACCAAGAAGAGAAATTCTACTATTTGGCACTGTACTTCCGCAGCGGACCGACACTTAGCCAATGTTTGAAGTATTGTGGAGGGAAATTCACTCACGGTTCGGGTGGTCGCCTAGCTCTCGACGTACTGCGGGTAGGGTTTAGGCGTTTAATCATATCTCCATGATTCAAGGGAACAGAAAAGAAAAATGTAATCACAACATGAGATGATTTGAGCACAAAGTTCCTCAGTGGCATCAATATTCCAGATTATACGTATAACACACAACCTTGGATACCTCGTACGTTCACTTAATTTGGAGATGTTTCACTTTGACGCTTGCTCTCGCCACCTTTTCATGGCAGATTTATCGACTGTTCGAAAGGTAAGAAGATTATTTTGGACCAGTGTTCAAAAAGAATGAAAGAAAAACGACTAGTCATGATCCCAGACACCCAGGAACATAGGAACGTTTACACCTATATGCAAGAATTTTTACGAGTAAATGAAGAGTAAAGAATCGATATCGTAAGAACTTCCCGATAACAGTAATGATAGGAATGGGAAAAGCTCAGGAGATTCCATCTTTCCAGACCCATATCACTGACCCATGTGTAGGAATCAGACGGACCAAAAATATTTAGCAACGCCTGATTTGAGCGATGCGTAAGCTCCACTGGCTGTATGCCTCTGACAAAAGTAGCACCACCGCATAACTAACGCCAAAGATCTCGCTCTCTACCATTCGGTCCGGTCAGCGAAGAATGCTGTTAGCCTCTGAAAGGTGATGCCTGAGTCCCTATTTTTTGCAGGACACATCCAAAAGTAACACTCACAATCACGAACTAGTAATGCCTCATTGGTGTGGTGGCCTTATCTTTGCACCTATGACGTTCCATGATGATGGTGAACTTCTTTCTCACAAAACCTCACACAAGCGCTGATCTAATGTCTTTCTGCTTAGATCCGATCTCTTGTCGAGATGAACTTGAGGCCTGGATATATTTTTTCGTCTATCTTGTCAAAGGCACCCTGCCATGGGAAAACGATCGTGCTGATGATGTGAAATGGACAAAGATCAAATCAATAAACTACGGTGAACTGTTC